ACCTTGACCTTGACCTTGACCCCGTGTGTCTGGGTGGAAGCTGTGCTGTCCCCCCAAGTGGCTGCCCCCAGGGGGCCAGGCCCTCCCAGCCTGTCTCCTAGAACATGGCTTACATCAGATCTGTGGGCGGGATCCCTCCTCCATGTCCTCACCCTGAGCTTGCATCCTTAACGGTAACGGAGGTGTGAGCTGGCCATGGGGCCGAGGCAGGGCTTTTCCATCGAGGTGTCAGCTTTTCTTTTCTTTTTTAAACATATTTTACTGATTTTTTTTTTTTTTTACAGAGAGGAAAGGAGAGGGATAGAGAACTAGAAACATCGATGAGAGAGAAACATCCATCAGCGGCCTCCTGCACCCCCCCTACTGGGGATGTGCCCGCAACCAAGGTCCATGCCCTTGACCGGAATCGAACCCGGGACCTTTCAGTCCGCAGGCCGACACTCTTCCCACTGAGCCACACCGGTTTCGGCTCTTTTCTTTTTAAAATAAAATATATATTTATTGATTTCAGAGAGGAAGGGAGAGGGGGAGAGAGAAAGAAAGAGGATAGAAACATCAACGAGGAGAGAGAACCACGGATCGGCCGCCTCCAGCACGCCCCACATTGGGGATGGGGTTCCCCATGGGAATCGAACCACGACCGCCCGGTTCACGGCTGGAAGGTCGGCCACTCAAGCGGGGCGGGGTTTAGATTGGAATTCTTCATTCCGACGTTTATTATTTCACGAGCTGCGATTACTTACTGAGCTCCGTGTGCTGCTGTGAAGACTGTGGTCTAAAAAGATAGAATGACCTCAGCCGGTGTAGCTCAGTGGATAGCGCGTCGGCCTGCAAACCGAGGGGTCCCGGGTTCGATTCCGGTCAAGGGCATGTGCCTTGGTTGCGGGCACATCCCTAGTGGGGGGTGTGCAGGAGGCAGCTGATGGGTATTTCTCTCTCATCGATGTTTCTAACTCTCTCTCCCCTCTTCTCTGTAAAAATCAATAAAATACGTCATTGGAAAAATAAAAAGATAGGACGGACGGCTTTCTGGAGGAATAGGGTTTGTGCTGCCGCCTGCCACAGTAACCCCTGCTCGCTCCCTCTTTCCTGTCCGGGCCCCTGGCACTGGGCTGACACAGGATTTCAAAACCGTCCGGGGGGGAAAGTCAGTTTTGTTTTGTTTTCCTGCTGGCCCTGGGCCAGATCCCCGGAGGGCGTCTCGAGGCTCCTGATGATGCGGAAACGAAGAGACTCCAGAGCTGAGGGCTGTTTTCAGTTTGGCGTGGCGGCCTGCTTTTCTCAAAAACGTATTTCGTTGATTTTTTTTTTATTTTTATTTTACAGAGAGGACGGGAGAGGGAGAGAGAGAGCCAGAAACATCGATGAGAGAGAAACATCCATCAGCTGCCTCCTGCACGCCCCCCCACTGGGGATGTGCCCGCAACCAAGGTACGTGCCCTTGACGGGAATCGAACCCGGGACCCTTCAGTCCGCTGGCTGAGGCTCTATCCACTGAGCCACACAGCCAGGGCCGGTCTGCTTTCTTTATCTGAGTCTCGTCCTGGATTATCAGGCGGCTTCTGTGCTGCTCGCCGGGGCTTAGGGGAGAATGGCCTAAGGCCCGGCTCAGAAGCCCAGGGGGCCTCCCTCCATCCCGGGCGGCTGGTGGGGTCACAGGCTTCCCCCGGGGGTCAGACTCCCCCACCCCCACCCCCTTGTAAATGTGGGAGCCCTGACCCAGGCCCTGAGCCTCCGGGGAGGAGCCCAGAGCTCACACGCTAAGCTAGGGGTGTCGAACTCAATCAGAGAAGGGGCCAAAATCTAAAATCCAGCCTAAATCGCGGGCCGAATGGTTTACTGAACAGTCATAAACTGTCATTGTGATGGAAACGCAGCGGAGTGCAGTGATGACAGCGCGGTGCGGGCCACATTGCAAGGCCTGGCGGGACGGATTTGGCCCGCGGGCCTTGTGTTTGACACATGTGCGCTAAGCGGAGGCCGAGCAGCCGTGTCATCACGTGTCGTATGTGTGGGGTGACGGGGCGGCCTCTTTGAACTCTCGGATTGGATTTTTGTTCTTTTCCCTTTTTAAACATGAAGGTGATTTTGTTTTTTTTAATCTATATTTTTGTTGATTTCAGAGAGGAAGGGAGAGAGAGATAGAAACATCCATGATGAGCCCTGACCAGTGTGGCTCAGTGGATAGAGCATCGGCCTGCGGACGGAAGGGTCCCGGGTTCGATTCCGGTCAAGGGCATGGACCTTGGTTGCGGGCACATCCCCGGTGGGGAGGTGTGCAGGAGGCAGCTGATCGATGTTTCTAACTCTCTATCCCTCTCCCTTCTGCTCTGTAAAAAAATCAATTAAAAAAAAATATTTTTTTTTTAAAGAAAAAGACGCCGAAACCGGTGTGGCTCAGTGGATAGAGCGTCGGCCTGCGGACTGAAGGGTCCCGGTTCAATTCCGGTCAAGGGCATGTACGGTGGTTGCGGGCACATCCCCGGTGCGGGGCTGTGCAGGAGGCGGCTGATCAATGATTCTCTCTCATTGACCTTTCTGGCTCTCTACCTCTCTCCCTTCCTCTCTGTAAAAAAATCAATAAAATATATTTAAAAAAGAAAAAAAAAAATCCACGATGAGAAAAAAATCATGGATCGGCTGCCTCCCGCACACCCCCTACTGGGGAACGGGCTCACAACCTGGGCCTGTGCCCTTGGCAGGAATCGAACCCGGAACCCATCAGTCTGCAGGCCGACACTCTATCCACTGAGCCACAGCTGCCAGGGCTCAGGAGGGATTTTTGAACTGGGTCTTGAGGATCGAATAGGAGTTTGCAGGTGGGTGTTGGTGCCGTCGGAGCAGGGGTCAGGGAGACCGGTTCTGGGTGCTGCCGTGTGAGGGCCAGGCCCGGGGCCCCCAGGGGTGGGCTGGGGTGAGCCAGAGCTCCACGTACAGTGGCTTGGCCCCTTGAGCCCCAAGCGTTATCAGCACGGGACACACAGGACTTGGTGGCCAGGGGTAAGAAGAGAGTCCACCTAGGAACCAGGTGGTCGCGGTTCGATTCCCCGTCAGGGCACAGGCCCGGGTGGCGGGTTCCATCCCCAGTGGGGGGCGTGCAGGAGGCAGCCGATCCATGACCCTCTCTCATCATGTGCCCTGACCCGGAATCGCACCCGGCCTCCTGGGACATAGAGCGATGCGCCAACCACTGGGCCACACGGGCCGGGCTCTGAGGACCGGATCCTGGGACTCTTTCGAGGAGAGAGCTGGGTGTGGAGGGAGGGAAGGAGGTGCCTCGGGTCCACAGGATGGGACAGGGGGCCTTGCCTGTCTGCCCGGGGGGCTCCTGGGTGTGGGACAGAGGCCTGGGGGAGCAGCTGGGCCCCGTGGGGTCAGCCAGCTGTCCTGCCGGGTCCTCCGCAGCTGCCGCAGTGGGTGGCCTGGCTCTGGTCCTGTGGGCCGGCCCTGGGCGCGCAGAGGCCTGAGAGGGCAGCTGTGCCCACCCAGCTGGGGCCCCTCCCCTGGGACATGCTCTTTATTTTATTTTTAAAGGAAAAAGTGAGCCCTTTAAATATATATACATCTATGGTTTTTGTTTTGTTTTGTTTTTTAACATATTTTATTGATTTTTTTACAGAGAGGAAGAGAGAGGGAGAGAGAGGGAGAAACACCGATGAGAGAGAAACATCCATCAGATGCCTCCAGCATGCCTCCCACCGGGGATGTGCCCGCAACCAAGGTCCATGCCCTTGACCGGAATCGAACCCGGGACCCTTCAGTCCCCAGGCAGACGCTCTATCCACTGAGCCAGACCAGTTTTGGCAATGAAAATATATTTTTTTTAAATATATTTTATTGATTTTATACAGAGAGGAAGGGAGAGAGATAGAGTTAGAAACATTGATGAGAGAATCATCGATCAGCTGCCTCTTGCACACCCCCTACTGGGGATGTGCCCGCAACCAAGGTCCATGCCCTTGACCGGAATCGAACCCGGGACCCTTCAGTCCCCAAGCCGACGCTCTATCCGTTGAGCCAAACCGGTCCCGGCCAATGAAAATATTTTTAAAAAAATAATTTTTAAAATGTCACAGGCATGGAATCATATAGCATGTTGGATTCGGCTTCTTTCTTTTTAAATATTTTTTTTTATTGATGCCAGAGAGGAAAGAAGAGGGAGAGAGAAACATCCATGAGGAGAGAGAATCATGGATCGGCTGCCTCCTGCACGCCCCCCACTGGGGATCGAGTCAGCAATCCAAGCGTGTGCCCTTGACTGGAATGGAACCCGGGACCTTTCAGTTCGCAGCCCGACGCTCTATCCACTGAGCCACACCGGCCAGGGCGGATCCATGTGATCACTTAATATTCACATGTGCTGGGCGGGTCATGATGGGGTTTAGTTGTTTTAATATAAATATATCTTTATTGATTTCAGAGAGAAAGGGAGAGAGAGAGAGAGAGAGAGAGAAACATCCATGAGGAGAGAGAATCATAGACCGGCTGCCTCCTGCACGCCCCACCCTGGGGATGGAGCCTGTGCCCTGACCGGGAATCGAACCCTGACCTCCTGGTTCCCAGGTGGATGGTCAGCCCCTGAGCCCGCCGGCCGGGCTGCTGCTGCTGTTCTCACTGTGAAGCGTGTCCCCCGCTGTAGGCCTTGAAACGGACGTTGCAGCCGAGACTGGTGTGGCTCAGTGGATAGAGCGTCGGCCTGCGGACTGAAAGGTCCCGGGTTCGATTCCGGTCAAGGGCACGTACCTTGGTTGCTGGCACGTCCCCAGTGGGGGGTATGCAAGAGGCAGCTGTCAATGATTCTCTCTCATCGATGTTTCTAACTCTATCCCTCTCTCTTCCTCTCTGTACAAAATGAACAAAATATATTGAAATATATTAAAAAAAGAAAGAAAAGAAATGGACATTGCTTGGGCCCGCTCCTCCCGGCCGCCCCTTGCAGGAAACACGCGGCTCTGAGCCTGCGCGGCCGCCATAACCCCGTCCTCTCTCCCCTCCCCTAGGCCCCCAACCGCCAGCTGATGACCTACTGGCTGCAGGAACTGCAGCAGAAGCGCTGGGAGTACTGCAACGGCCTGGACATGGTCCAGGGGGCCGGCCGCATCTCGCCCCCCCCGGGGGACGGCTCCCGGGGCCTCGTGGCCAGGGGCGCCCCAGGTGAGTGCCTTCCCGGTGCGGGCCCGGGGTGACCTTGGGGGCTGGGCAAGGTCAGCGCCCAGCACCCTGCAGGGGACACAGCCCCGTCGGCAAGTGGGGCGTGTGCGGGAGGGGACCCCGAGCGGCTCCCGGGCCAGCCTGGTCCTCGGTCCCCCTGCAGGCACAGAACTCACGTCCTGTGGGCTGGGCAGAGGGGTCAGAGTTCACACAGGTGTGTACACAAAGACCCCACCCGTGACCCAGGCATGTTCCTAAGAGACGTGTGTGTGTGTGTGTGTGTGTGTGTGTGTGTGTGTGTCTTAAATATATATTCTTGCCCTGGCTGGTGTGGCTCAATGGGTAGAGCCTCTGCCTGCGGACTGAAGGGTCCTGGGTTCGATTCCAGTCAAGGGCACATGTCCAGGTGGCGGGTTCCATCCCTAGTAGCGGGTGTGCAAGAGGCAGACAATCCATGATTTTCTCTTCATCGTGGATGTTTCTCTCTCTCGCTCTACCTCTCCCTTCCTCTCTGAAATCAATAAAAATATACTTAAAAAATAAGAAATAAAAAAATATATCTATTGATTTCAGAGAGGATAGGAGAGAGAGAAAGAGAGAGAGAGAGAGAGAGGGAGAGAGAGAAACATCCATGAGGAGAGAGAATCATGGATCGGCTGCCTCCTGCACCCCTCCCCCCCCCGCCACTGGGAAATGAGCCCGCAACCCTGTCCTGCGCCCTGACTGGGAATCGAACCCTGACCTCCTGGTTCACAGGTCGATGCTCAGCCCCTGGCCCACGCTGGCCGGGCGGTCCTTCCTTGGAAGCCGAACGCCGTGGCCTGGAGCCGAGGAGACACTGAGGCCCACGTGGCTGTCTCCGCGTGGCCCGGGGCCTGTCACATGGCGGTTTGGCGTTTGTGGCTCTGACGCTGGCTCGTCCGCTCAGCAGCCAGGCCCCTGTGAGCGGCCCCTCCCTCCACGGCGTTTCCCGGGGGCGGGCGTGGAGAGGTGTGAGATGCTGTGACGGGGGCGGCGAGCCTGGCCGGGGCGGTCGGGCCTCTCTGAGGGGCGGCCACGCTGAGGCCTGGAGGGGAGCAGGAGCCGGCCGGGGGCCGGGCAGGGAGGCGGGGCCCTCGGCTGGCGGGGAGTGTCTGAAGCTGCGAGTGTGCACAGGACTGGGCGTCCACCAGCTCTAGATCGCTGCTAAGAACGAATAATGAAACTGGCCCGGCTGGCATGGCTCCACCATTGAGCGTCCTCCTAGGAGCCAGGGTTCGATTCCCGGTCAGGGACCAGGCCCAGGCCCAGGTGGTGGGCTCCATCCCCCATGCGGGGCATGCAGGAGGCAGCCAACCCATGATTCTCTCTCCTCATGGATGTTTCTATCTCCCTCTCCCTCCCTCTCTGAAATCAATAAAAATCCTATATAACAAAGAGGGGATATGCAAATGAACCCTCATGCCCTCACAAAATGGCTGTCTTTGGCTAGGCCGGCAGGGGGCTTAGTGAGGGATGACCAAATGACTGAACAGCAGGCTGCGTGGGGCGACCAGGCCAGAAGGGGGGCAGTTAGGGGCAACCAGGATGGCAGGGGGGACAGTCAGGGGTGACCAGGCTTGTGGGGGCGAGGGGGCAGTTAGGGGCCACCAGACTGGCAGAGAGGGGCAGTTAAGGGTGACTTGGCCAGCAGGGGGGCCAGTTAGGGGCGATCAGGCCGGCACACAGAGGCAGTGAGGGGCGATCGGGCCGGCACCCAGAGGCAGTGAGGGGCGATCAGGCCGGCACAGGGACGATCGGGCCGGCACCCAGAGGCAGTGAGGGGCGATCGGGCCGGCACACAGAGGCAGTGAGGGGCGATCGGGCCGGCACACAGAGGCAGTGAGGGGCGATCGGGCCGGCACACAGAGGCAGTGAGGGGCCATCAGGCCGGCACACAGAGGCAGTGAGGGGCGATCGGGCAGGCACACAGAGGCAGTGAGGGGCGATCGGGCCGGCACCCAGAGGCAGTGAGGGGCCATCGGGCCGGCACCCAGAGGCAGTGAGGGACGATCAGGCCGGCACCCAGAGGCAGTGAGGGACGATCAGGCCGGCACACAGAGGCAGTGAGGGGCGATCGGGCCGGCACCCAGAGGCAGTGAGGGGCGATCGGGCCGGCACACAGAGGCAGTGAGGGGCGATCGGGCCGGCACCCAGAGACAGTGAGGGACGATCGGGCCGGCACCCAGAGGCAGTGAGGGACGATCAGGCCGGCACCCAGAGGCAGTGAGGGGCCATCGGGCCGGCACCCAGAGGCAGTGAGGGGCGATCGGGCCGGCACACAGAGGCAGTGAGGGGCCATCGGGCCGGCACACAGAGACAGTGAGGGGCCATCGGGCCGGCACCCAGAGGCAGTGAGGGGCGATCAGGCCGGCACCCAGAGGCAGTCAGGGACGATCAGGCCGGCACCCAGAGGCAGTGAGGGGCGATCGGGCCGGCACACAGAGGCAGTGAGGGGCCATCGGGCCGGCACCCAGAGACAGTGAGGGGCGATCGGGCCGGCACACAGAGGCAGTGAGGGGCCATCGGGCCGGCACACAGAGGCAGTGAGGGGCGATCGGGCCGGCACACAGAGGCAGTGAGGGGCCATCAGGCTGGCAGGCAGCTGAGCGATTAGGAGCCAGTGGTCCAGGATTGAGAGAGGGATGTCCGATTGCCAATTTAGGGCCTAAACTGGCAGCCAGACATCCCCCAAGAGATCCTGGATCGGAGAGGAGCAGGTTGGGCTGAGGGAACCCCTCTCCCCCCCCCCCCCCCGCCCCTCACGAATTTCATGCACCGGGCCACTCGTAAAAATGTGTTTATTTCAAAAAGGAACAGAGTAGGTGTCACAGCACACTCCTCAAGCGCAGCCTCTGTCTGCGGGCGCCCGGAGCTAAAGACTCGGGATCCTGGGACTTCCGTGTGCCCGTCCACGTCCGTCCGTCCGTCCGTCCGACCGCGTCCTGAGGCAGGCGGTCCCCTGACCACGGCTGTCCCCCGTGGACCCTTACGTAAACCTCGCAGACAGGCCGGGAGCCAGGCAGAGGATCGGTACTGCGAAGGCCTGGCCACGGCTTCTCGTTCCCGTCGCACAGCACACTGAGGACGAGCCTGCCTGGCCATGCCCCCTCCCCCCCCATCCCCCGGCCCCGCGCCCCGCCCCCGCCCCGGCCACTTCCCCAGGAAGCTCCCGGCGGCCTTGCAGCAAGCCCCGGCTTCCTCGTAACCTTGGGGTTTTGTCTTCCCCCGCAGAGCCTGCCACCGCCAGCCCACACAGGAAGGGGGGCTGCACGCGGCTCCGCTTGGAGGGGTGTGCCCTGCCCCAGCCCGGAGCTCAGCTGGCTGGGCCGTCGTCCCCACCACCAGGGCTCGGGGCTCCATCCAAAGGCCCGGCCAGTGTGGCTCAGTGGGTAGAGCGTCGGCCTGCGGACCGAAGGGTCCCGGGTTCGATTCCGGTCAAGGGCATGGACCTCGGTGGCAGGCTCCTCCCCCCACCTGGGCCCCTGTCAGGGCGCGTGCAGGAGGCCACCATTCGGTGTGTTTCTCTCTGTCTTTCCCTCTCCCTTCCACCCTCCCTAAAAATCCATGGAGCCCGGCCGGTGTGGCTCAGTGGGTAGAGCGTCGGCCTGCGGACCGAAGGGTCCCGGGTCCGATTCCGGTCAGGGGCACACGCCCCCTAATGGGGATGGAGCCTGCAACCCCGGGCCTGTGCCCTGACCGGGAATTGAACCCTGACACCCTGGCTCCTGAGTCAGTGCACAACCGCTGAGCCACGCCCGGCTGGGCCTGAGGATGTTTCTCCATTGATTTTTACGGAGAGTGGAAGGGATGGGCAGAGACAGAGAGAAACGTCCGTGTGAGAGGGACACATGGATTGGTGGCCTCCTACACACTCCCCAGCTGGGGCCGGGGATCGAGCCTGCAGCCTGGGTCCGTGCTCTTGACCAGAATCAAACCCGGGATCCTCAGGTCCACAGGCTGGTGCTCTATCCACTGAGCCACACTGGCCCGGGCATGATGATCTACTTTATTTTTACCTTTTTATTTATTTTTTAAAATATATTTTATTGATTTTTTTGTTTTTTTTTTTTTACAGAGAGGAAGGGAGAGAGAGGGATAGAGAGTTAGAAACATCGATGAGAGAGAAACATCGACCAGCTGCCTCCTGCACGCCCCCCACTGGGGATGTGCCCGCAACCAAGGTCCATGCCCGTGACCGGAATCGAACCCGGGACCCTTCGGTCCGCAGGCCGACGCTCCATCCATTGAGCCACACCGGTTTCGGCTATTTTTTTATCTTTTTAAAATATATTTTATTGACTTTTACAGAGAGGAAGGGAGAGAGATAGACAGTTAGAAACATCAATGAGAGAGAAACTTCGACCAGCTGCCTCCTGCACGCCCCCCACTGGGGATGTGCCCGCAACCAAGGCACATGCCCTTGACCGGAATCGAACCCGGGACCCTTCGGTCCGCAGGCCGGTGCTCTACCCACTGAGCCACACCACCCGGGGCTCGATGATCTCCCTGAGGTCAAAACAGTGGCAGAACACGGAAGCCACCGGATGTGTCTGCGCCGCCTCTGACGAAGCCGCGCGCCCCGCGTCCAGCACCGGTGTCTGCGGAGGACGCCGGGCCGTGCTCCGGGGGGGTCAGCCAGGGCCCCTGGGGCCGCTCTGAGCCGTCCCCCTCTGTCCGCCCTTCCCCCAGACTTCCTGTACCCGCACCCCAACGCCTCCGCAGAGAAAGCCCGGACCGTCCTCGCCACGGACACGGCCCCCGGAGAGCTGGTGGGGGAGCAGGCCGCCAGCCAGCCCGCCCCGGGGCCCCCCAGCTCCATCAACTTCTCTCTGAGGCAGTGGGGCGCCGAGCTCAGGTGAGTCCGGGGGCGGGGGGGTGCGGGGGGCGTTCGCCGAGGACCCCAAGAGCAATCCCGCGTGACAGCACGTGCTGATTTCCCGTCAGAACCCTGTCACCTGTCACTCTGGGGTCTGGTTCTAGCGGCTGTTCTGTCTCCTCCGGAGGAATAGGGTCATTGTTCTCCTGGGTGACCAGGACCATGTGTTCTTGCCTCCCTGGGCGCTGGGGGGTCTTGTCTTCTATAAATATTCTTTTTAAAAATATATATTGTATTGATTTTTTTACAGACAGGAAGAAAGAGGGAGCGTTAGAGACATAGATGAGAGAGAAACATCGACCAGCTGCCTCCTGCACACCCCCCACCGGGGATGTGCCCGCAACCAAGGTCCATGCCCTTGACCGGAATTGAACCTGGGACCCCCCCCAGTCTGCAGACCGACGCTCCATCCACTGAGCCAAACCGGTCTCGGCTATAAATATTCTTTTTAAAAATATATATTCTATTGATTTTTCACAGACAGGAAGGGAGAGGGAGCATTAGAGACATAGATGAGAGGGAAACATCGACCAGCTGCCTCCTGCACACCCCCCACCGGGGATGTGCCCACAACCAAGGTACATACATGCCCTTGACCGGAATTGAACCCGGGACCCTTCAGTCCGCAGGCCGACGCTCTACCCACTGAACCAAGCCGGTTAGGGCTTTTTTTCTTTTTCTTTTTTTTTCTTTTTTTTAAAATATATTTTATTGATTTTGTACAGAGAAGAAGGGAGAGAGATAGAGAGTTAGAAACATCGATGAGAGAGAGTCATCGATCAGCTGCCTCTTGCACGCCCCCTACTGGGGATATGCCCGCAACCAAGGTACATGCCCTTGACCGGAATCGAACCCGGGACCCTTCAGTCCCCAAGCCGACGCTCTATCCACTGAGCCAAACTGGTCTTGGCTCTTTTTTTTTTTTTTATTGACTTAAAAAAGAGAGGAAGGGATGCCGAAGCTGGTGTGGCTCAGTGGATAGAGCGTCGGTCTGCGGACTGAAGGGTCCCGGGTTCGATTCCGGTCGGGGGCATGTACCTTGGTTGCGGGCACATCGCCGATGGGGGGTGTGCAGGAGGCAGCTGGTCGATGTTTCTCTCTCATCGACATTTCTAGCTCTCTCTCCCTCTCCCTTCCTCTCTGTAAAAAATCAATAAAATGTATATTTTTTTAAAGTGAAAGCAAACATTGTTTAAGAACCCACGCACTCCGTCCCCCCGTAGGAATTCCATGTCCTCCTTCCGGCCGGGAAGGGGCCAGGACAGCCGGAAGAGCGTGTTCTACACGCAGGAGGAGTGGGAGCTGCTGGACCCCAGCCCCAAGGACCTGGAGGAGTCGGCGTCGCAGGAGGAACGGCGGAGGCAGGCGCCGGAGGGGGGCAGAGGTGCGACGGGCTGGGGGTCCCCGCTCCCCCCGGCCGCCGGCCACAGGGCGTGGGAGCCTGCCCAGCAGGGAGTCCGCATCCTCTTCACTTCTTGTTTATTTATTTATTTTTTAAAAATATATATATATATTTAAATATATTTTATTGATTCCATACAGAGAGGAAGGGGGGAGATAGAGAGCTAGAATCACCGATGAGAGAGAGTCATCGATCAGCTGCCTCTTGCACACCCCCTACTGGGGATGTGCCCGCAACCTAGGTACATGCCCTTGACTGGAATCGAACCCGGGACCTTCCGGTCCCCAAGCCGACGCTCTATCCATTGAGCCACACCGGTTTCGGCAAAATATATTTTCATTTTATTATTGATTTTATACAGAGGAAGGGAGAGAGATAGAGAGCTAGAATCACCGATGAGAGAGAGTCATCGATCAGCTGCCTCTTGCACACCCCCTACTGGGGATGTGCCCGCAACCTAGGTCCATGCCCTTGACCGGAATCGAACCCGGGACCCTTCAGTCCCCAAGCTGACGCTCTCTATCCACTGAGCCACACCGCTTGCGGCTTCTTGTTTATTTTTTTAAAACATAATTTTATTGATGTCAGAGAGGAAGGGAGAGAGAGGAGAACATCCATGATGAGAGAGAATCGTGGAGTGGCTGCCTCCCGCACGCCCCACCCTGGGGATCGAACTCACAGCCCAGGCACGTGCCCTTGAGCAAAATCAAATCAGGGACCCTTCCGTCTGCAGGCTGACGCTCTATCTACTTAGCTGCACTGGCCAGGACAGGTACAGGCTTTTTAAAATATATATATATCTTACTGATTGGTTTCAGAGAGGAAGGGAGAGGAATAGAGAGAAACATGGATGAGAGAGAAACATCCATCAGCCGCCTCCTGCACACCCCCCGCTGGAGATGTGCCTGCAACCAAGGTCCATGCCCTTAACCAGGAAGGGAGTGAGAGAGAGAAACATCCATGATGGGAGAGAATCACGGATCAGCTCCCTCCTGCACGCCCCAAACTGGGGACGCAGCCTGACAGCTGGACATGTGCCCTGACCGGGAATCGAACCCTGAACTTCCCGTTCCTAGGTCGACGCTCCACCACTGAGGCACGCTGGCCGGGCTCCCCCCAGAAATGTTAATTATACAATAGCTTCATTGCAGTGCCTGAGGACAGTGATAGTAACCCTGGGACACGTTCTCATTTCCCCACTGTTCCTTCGACGTCTGCCTCCCTCGGCCCTTCAATCGAGGAAGCCACAGGCCCCACCCCCACCCCCACCGCCACCCCACGCACACAGCCCGGGTCCGTCCTGCCCGTCTTCTGACTTTAAGTGAATGAAATCTGTATAGCTCTGACGCTGTGTGTCTCCCTTTGCGTTTCAAATGCGTATTTGAACCCATCTATTATGTATTTGGGTATTTGGGTCCCTCAGTACCCTTCCGTGGCTAGAGCATCAGCCTGCGGATGGAAGGGTCCCGGGTTCGATTCCCGGTCAGGGCACACGCCCGGGGTGCAGGCTCCACCCCCAGTGTGGGGCGTGCAGGAGGCAGCCGATCCATGATTCTCTCTCATCATGGATGTTTCTCTCTCCCCCCCTCTCCCTTCCTCTCTGACATCAACAAAAATATATCCTATATAATAAAAGGCTAATATGCAAATCCACCTAGCAGCTGAAGGACTGGCCGCTTTGACGCGCACTGACCACCAGGGGGCAGGCGCTCAGTTAGAAGCCCTGAGCCGGGCTCACTGCCGAGCAGTGCAGCACTAAGGATGTCTGCCTGGCACGTAGGTGGGCCGGCCTAAGCTGTCAGTCGGACATCCCCCAACGGCTCCCGGACTGTGAGAGGGTGCAGGCCAGGCTAAGGGACCCCCACAAGGGCACGTATTTCGTGCACACGGTCTCTAGTTTAAAATGAAAAAAACAAGATGTGTGTTTACAACATCTACATATAATACATTTGGAATATATATATATATATATTTGTATCTTTTTGACTAAGGGAAAGTGACCAAGCGTCTCTAGGGCGGCAGTCGGGGTGTATAAACAAGGTGCTGCCATGCCTCTGTCGATCATCACGGTCCCTCCCTGTCCGGCTTCATGGGGTGCCTTGGGGGGAGGGGACCCCATGCTCCCAGGGTGCCCTGGGCCCTGGAGACACCCCCTCCCCCCGCCCCGTCCTCCGGGCCTGCGTCTGTTCCCGTCGGTCTCCCCGGGCCCGGCGTAGGACGGTCACAGGAACACGGCAGCCCGGGGCCTCTGAGGAGATTCTGGAAGCTCAGCTCGGTTTCCCGGCCGCTGTGTCATGCACCCGTTGGGGCGGGCGGCCCGGGTTGAGCAATCCAGCCGAGTGCAGGCCCTGCACGGGGCCTCGTCAGGAAGTGTCCGCCGGCGGGACGGACAGAGGCAGCTGGGGGGGGTGGGGGTGGGGGGGAGAAGGGCGGATTCCTCGGAGGGAGTTTCCCACCTCTCCACACCCGCCCTGTGTCCCTGCAGGCGGTGCGGGCTCCGGGTTCCTCTTCGACCTGGGCCGTGTCCCCTACAAAGGCAGGCGCCCCCTGAGGGACATGATCGGGTCGTACAAGAGTCGCCATGGCAGCGGGGACCAGGCCCCCGAGGGGACGCCCGGGGCGCCGGGCGCCGGGGGCGCCAGCCGGGCCTCGGACCCGGACCTGCAGCAGCAGGTGCAGAGCCAGCAGGAGGAGCTGGAGCAGCTGCGCAAGGAGCTGTCCAGCCAGAAGGTAACGCCCCTCCTCCTCCTCGTCCTCCTCGTTCTCCCCCTCCCCCTCCCTCTCCGACCCTCCTGCTCCCTCTCCCCCTCCTCCTCCATCTCCTCCTTCTCCTTCTTCTTCTCTTCTCCCTCCTCCTCCATCTCCTCCTCCCCCTCCTCCTCCGCTTCCTCCTCCCCTTTCTCCCCTTCCCTCTCCCCCTCTTCCCTCTCTTCCTCCTCCATCTCCTCCTCCTCCTCCATCTCCTCCTTCTCCTTCTCCTTCTCTTCTCCCTCCTCCTCCATCTCCACCTCCTCCCCCTCCTCCTCCTCCATCTCCTCCTCCTTCTTCTCCTTCTCTTCTCCCTCCTCCTCCATCTCCTCCTCCCCCTCCTCCTCCTCCATCTCCTCCTTCTCCTTCTCCTCCTCTTCTCCCTCCTCCTCCATCTCCTCCTCCCCCTCCTCCTTCTCCGCCTCCTCTTCCCCTTTCTCCCCTTCCCTCTCCCCTGTTTGTTTGGTTTTTGTTTTTGTTTTATAGAGATGAAGGGGGAAGGATAGAGTGAGAAACATCAGATGAGAGAGAAACATCCATCAGCTGCCTCCTGCACACCCCCTGGACCAAGGTCCATGCCCTTGACCAGAATCGAACCCGGGACCCTTCAGTCCGCAGGTCGATACACTAGCCACTGAGCCACACCGGTTAGGTCAGTGGTCGGCAAACTCATTAGTCCACAGAGCCAAATCTCAGCAGTACAACGACTGAGATTTCCTCTGAGAGCCACATTTTTAAACTCTAGGGGCAGGTGCATGGTTATTAACTTAATGAGGGCACTCCTAAGCTGGCCTCTGCTAAAACCTCAAGGGGCCAAAGAGCCGCCCGTGGCTCGCGAGCCGCAGTTTGCCGGCCACTGGGTCAGCTCACGGCACTCACACAGCCCGGCCGGCGCACCGGAGCCGCCGCTGGTCACAGCGCGTGTGCCGCGGCTTCCTGTGTCCTGTCATTGTCCTCTGGGCCCCGTCTTCGTGGAGGCGGTTCCGTCTCCTCTTTATCTTTGAGGTCCTCCCAGAGGAAGTTCGGCGTTGAATTGTTTCCAGGGCCCTGGCCGGTGTGGCTCAGTGGGTAGGGCGTCGGCCTGCAGACCGAAAGGGTCCCGGGTTCGATTCCGTCAAGGGCACATGCCTAGGTGGCAGGCTCCCCTCCCCAGCCCAGGCCCTGGTGGCAACCCATCGATGTGTCTCTCCGTCTACTCTCTCTCTCTCTCTCTCTCTCAAAATCAGTGCACGTGCTTGCTTACAGCTCTTTTTGAGTTTGTTCAATAGATCTCCCTGCTTTCACCGGAAGGCCCTAAAAAAAATAAAATCTGTAATAATAAAAGCACAACATGCTTAATTAGACCGGACAGCCGAACGACCTTCCAAACACCCTTTCTGACAAAGCTGTGGTGGCTATGGGTGATCGGGCAGGCAGGCAGAGTGGTTAGGGGCGATCAGGCACCAGGCAGAGTGGTTAGGGGCGATCAGTCAGGCAGGCAGAGGGGTTAGGGGCGATCAGGCAGGCAGGCAGAGGGGTTAGGGGCGATCAGGCAGGCAGGCAGAGTGGTTAGGGGCGATCAGGCACCAGGCAGAGTGGTTAGGGGCGATCAGTCAGGCAGGCAGAGTGGTTAGGGGCGATCAGTCAGGCAGGCAGAGTGGCTATGGGTGATCAGACAGGCAGGCAGAGTGGTTAGGGGCGATCAGGCAGGCAGGCAGAGTGGTTAGGGGCGATCAGGCAGACAGGCAGAGTGGTTAGGGGCGATCAGGCAGGCGGGCAGAGTGGTTAGGGGCGGTCAGGCAGGCAGGCAGAGTGGTTAGGGGCGATCAGGCAGGCAGGCAGTGGTTAGAGGCGATCAGGCAGGCGGGCAGAGTGGTTAGGGCTGATCAGGCAGGGATTGGGCCTAAACTGGCAGTCAGACATCCCTCAAGGGGCCCCGGATTACAAGAGGGTGCAGGCTGGGCTGAGGGACAACCCCCCTCCTGTGCACGAATCTAGTAAAAAATAAAAATCAATGTAAAATTATCCTCGGGTGAGGATTAAAAAAAAACACTTCCGAGTCAGGTTTCCCCGTTTCCTCACCTTCCCGCGTGGCTCCACGTGGACGTGTCACGTGTCTGCCCCCCCCCCCGTGGCTGCAGGAGCTGGTGCGGCTGCTGCAGCAGACGGTGCGCTCCTCGCAGTACGACAAGTACTTCGCCGGCAGCCGGCTGTGCGACGGGGCCGCCCCGGACACGCTGGCGCTGCTGCACCAGAAGGACGAGCAGATCCTGGGCCTGACCCGGCAGCTGGACCGGCTGGGCCTGGAGAAGGAGAGCCTGCAGCAGGAGGTGCGCACGCTCAAGGCCAAGGTGGGCGAGCTGAGCGAGCAGCTGGGCATGCTCATGGAGACCATCGGGGCCAAGGACGAGGTCATCATCAAGCTGTCGCGGCAGCTCAGCGAGGGCGAGGGCCGCGCCGCCTCCCCCGGCCCGCCGCCCGGCTCCCCCTCCGCCAGCCGGGACCAGCAGGAGCTGGACAGGCTGAAGGTGAGGGACCCCACTCTGCCTGCCTGCCCGCCTGATCGCCCCTAACCCCTCTGCCTGCCTGGTCGCCCCTAACCACTCTGCCTGCCTGATCGCCCCTAACCACTCTGCCTGCCTGCCCGCCTGATCGCCCCTAACCACTCTGCCTGCCTGATCGCCCCTAACCACTCTGCCTGGCTGCCTGATCACCCATAGCCACTCTGCCTGCCTGATCGCCCCTAACCACTCTGCCTGCCTGATCGCCCCTAACCCCTCTGCCTGCCTGATCGCCCCTAACCCCTCTGCCTGCCTGATCGCCCCTAACCACTCTGCCTGCCTGATCGCCCCTAACCACTCTGCCTGCCTGCCTGATCACCCATAGCCACTCTGCCTGCCTGATCGCCCCTAACCACTCTGCCTGCCTGATCGCCCCTAACCACTCTGCCTGCCTGATCGCCCCTAACCCCTCTGCCTGCCTGATCGCCCCTAACCCCTCTGCCTGCCTGATCGCCCCTAACCACTCTGCCTGCCTGATCGCCCCTAACCACTCTGCCTGCCTGCCTGATCGCCTCTAACCACTCTGCCTGTCTGCCTGGTCGCCCCTAACCACTCTGCCTGCCTGATCGCCCCTAACCACTCTGCCTGCCTGATTGCCCCTAACCACTCTGCCTGCCTGATCGCCCCTAACCACTCTGCCTGGCTGATCACACCAACCACTCTGCCTTCCTGCCTGATCGCCCCTAACCATTCACCTCCCTGCCTGACTGATCACACCAACCCCTCTGCCTGCCTGATCGCCCCTAACCACTCTGCCTGCCTGCCTGATCGCCCCTAACCACTCTGCCTGCCTGATCGCCCCTAACCACTCTGCCTGCCTGCCTGATCGCCCCTAACCACTCTGCCTGCCTGATCGCCCCTAACCACTCTGCCTTCCTGCCTGATCGCCCCTAACCATTCACCTCCCTGCCTGATCAGCCACATTCCTCCAGGGCTCCGGCCTCGGCGAGGCTGCCATTGCTCCAGCCCTTCTGCTCTCTCCCCGCCTGACTCCCGGCCGAGGGCGTCCCCTCCCAGGCCACCCACGGGGGCCACGGTGCCCCTCTGTGGCCGGTTCAGGCCAGTCCCCACGTGACGTAATCCCTCCCCGTCTCCTTCCTCGGCGCCTGGGCCCTGCCCGCCTTCGCTGCCGAGGGGGCGAGGGGAGAGGGCCAGAGATGAACCGGAAAGCGCCTGGTGATCCGCTTTCAGTTCCTCAGGACTCGCTCTTAACGTGGCAGGGCTGTGGGTGAGGCAGCAGCATGTGAATGGCACAGCCCGGCCAGCGTGGCTCCGTGGCTGAGCGTCCACCCAGGGACCAGGAGGTCACAGTGAGATTCCCGGCCAGGGCACAGGCCTGGGCGGCAGGCACATCCCCAGTGGGGGGCGTGCAGGAGGCAGCTGATCCACGATTCTCTCTCATCATGGATGTTTCTCTCTCTCTCTCCCTCTCCCTTCCTCTCTGAAATCAATCTATTGATATATACACCGGGTGGCCAGATGACGATGATCTCTGAACTCATAATCATCCGGCCACTCGGCGTCTATCCTATAGAATAAAAGGCTCATATGCAAATGGTCTCCTCGACCAGGAGTTCGACCAGCAGGCAGGCCGGCCAACCGCCCATGTCCCCTCGCCCTGGCCAGGCTGGCCGGACCCCACCCATGCACGAATTCATGCACTGAGTGGCCAGATGATTATGCGTTCAGAGATCATCATCATCATCTGGCCACTCGGTGTAGCACAGTCAGTCCGCGTTCAGTGAATTGACGGTTTTTGTGTGTGTGTGTTTTTCTTTTGCGAACAGGATAACCTGCAGGGGTACAAGACCCAAAACAAGTTTCTCAACAAGGAAATCTTGGAGCTCTCGGTGCTGCGGAGAAACGCGGAGAGGAGGGAGAGGGACCTGATGGCCAAGGTGGGTTGGGGTGGGGGGGGCACCCCTCCCCTGTTGGGAGGTGCAGCTTGGAAGCCATTTGGAAATGGACTCCTTTGGTCCCGGCCAGTGTGGCTCAGTGGGTAGAGCGCCGGCCTGCGGACTGAAGGGTCCCGGGTTCGAATTCCCAATCAGGGCACATGCCCGGGTTGCAGGCCCCATCCCCAGTGAGGTGTGCAGGAGGCAGCCGATCCATGATTCTCTCTCCTCATGGATATTTCCCTCCCTCCCTCTATCTCTCTCTCCTCTTCCTCTTTCCTGCTCTCTTCCTCTCTGAAATCAATAAAAAATATATTTTAAAAGAAAGGAAGGGAGGGAGGGAGGGAGGAATGGACTGGTTTGGAAAGCAGTGATTGGCTTTTTCTGTTTGTCCTCCCCTGGGGGTGTTTTTCCTGTTGCTTTCTTATAGAGAGAGTTGGAAGGGTATTTTTTTTAGCGTCTCTCTGGCTCACTTCCTGGTAGTACAGGGAGAGGGGAGGAGGGAGGGAGGGAGGGAGAGAGAGGAGGGAGGGAGAGAGAGAGAGAGGGAGAGAGAGAGAGAGAGAGAAGCATGGATGTGAGAGAGACATGTCGATTGGTTGCCTCCCACACAGGCCCTGCTCCCAGGTCCGTGCCCTTTGACTGGGAATCGAGTCCCGGGCTCTAACCACTGAGCAACCGGTTTTTATGCATTTAAAGATATATATATTTTATTGATTTTTTTTATAGAGAGGAAGGGAGAGGGAGAGAGAGAAACATGCATGATTGGGAGAGAGAATCATGGACCGGCTGCCTCCTGCACGTCCCTCTACTAGCGATGGAGCCCGCAACCCGGGCCTGTGCCCTGACCGGGAATCGAACCTGGGACCCCTCAGTCTGCAGGCGGGCGCTCTATCCACTGAGCCCCACCAGCGGGGCCGGGGGTGTATGTGATCTGCCTGCCACAGGCGGTTGTCCTCAGAAGGTGTCCCTGGGGCGTGGCCTGTGTGCCCGTGGGCACCGGGCGTGGCGTCCTCCACGGCACATGGCCTGGCTCCCTGTCTGCACCGACTCTGGGCGGCAGCATCCGGACGTCTTCGGTGCCAGCCCGGGAGGGAGGGAGGGAGGGAGGGGCCAGGCCCCCGGGGCGTCCATCAGCGTCTCTGGCTCCCGGCCCGGGCCTGGCGTTCCCGGTTGCCGTGGTGACCCCCTCGCCCCGCGCGCAGTACGCCAGCCTGGAGGCCAAGCTGTGCCAGGTGGAGAGCAAGTACCTGATCCTCCTGCAAGAGCTGCAGACGCCCGTGTGCGCCGAGGAGCAGGGCCCCAACCGCGAGGTCATCGCGCAGCTGCTGGCCGACGCGCTGCAGGTGGAGGGCCCGGAGCAGCCGGAGCAGGCGCTGCTGAAGCCGCGGCTCGTCAGGTCCGGGCGCGGGGCCGGGGCCGGGGCGGGCGGAGGGGGCGGGGCAGTGAGGGGGCAGCACCCGGGACCCTGCCTCTTGTCGGAGGTGTGTGACCGGCCCATCCCCACCTCGGAGCTCACCTCCACCATCCCTTTATGGTCTTTTTCTTCTCTTTTCTTTAATTTTTTTAATATATATTTTTTATTGGTTTTTTACAGAGGGGAAGGGAGAGGGATAGAGAGCTAGAAACGTCGAGGAGAGAGAAACATCGACCAGCCTCCTCCTGCACGCCCCCCACGGGGGATGTGCCCGCAACCAAGGTCCATGCCCTTGACTGGAATCGAACCTGGGACCTTTCAGTCTGCAGACCGATGTTCTACCACTGAGCCCAAACGGTTTCGGCTCTTTTCTTTAATTTTTTTTTAATACATTTGTATTGCTTTCAGAGAGGAAGGGAGAGGGGGAGAAACATCTGTCATGACAGGGAATCATGGACCGGCTGCCTCTTGCATGTCCCCCACTGGGGATGGAGCCCACAACCCGGGCCTGTGCCCTTGACTGGAATCGAACCCGGGACCCTTCGGTCTGCAGGCCAAAGCTCTATCCTCTGAGCCACACCGACCAGGGCTCTTTATTTTAATCCTCCACCGAGGACATTTTTCTATTGATTTTTAAAAAAATATATTTTATTGATTTTGTACAGAGAAGAAGGGAGAGAGAGAGAGAGTTAGAAACATCAATGAGATAGAGTCATCGATCAGCTGCCCCTTGCACACCCCCCACTGGGGATGTGCCCGCAACCAAGGTGCATGCCCTTGACCGGAATCGAACCCGGGACCTTTCAGTCCCCAAGCCTACACTCTATCCATTGAGCCAAACCGGTTTCGGCTTCCATTGATTTTTAGAGGTAGTGGAGGAAAGACGGAGAGAGCAGAGACGGGAATCGAACTCGGGACCCTGTGGTCAGCAGGCCAACGCTCTACCCATTGAGCCACACAGGCCGGGCGGGCCCTTCCCCGGCCTCCCCACCGAGTCCAGGCCGCTCACTGCCGCCCCCTGCCTCCCGCAGCGAGTATGACATCTACGGGTTCCGGACGGTGCCCGAGGACGACGAGGAGGAGCGGCTGGTGGCCAGGGTGCGGGCGCTGGACCTGCGGGGCCTGACGCTGGCGGAGACCCAGGAGGCGTCCACGGGCGTCAAGTGGGAGAACTACCTGGCGGGCACCGTGACGCGGGAGATGGCGCGCTCCCCGGAGCTGAAGGCGCTGGTGCGCGCGGGCGTGCCGCACGAGCACCGCTCCAAGGTGTGGCGCTGGTGCGTGGACCTGCACACGCGCAAGCTGCGCGAGGGCGCGGCGCCCGGCTACTTCGCGGCGCTGCTGCGCGCGGCGCTGGAGAAGCAGAACCCGGCCTCGCAGCAGATCGAGCTGGACCTGCTGCGCACGCTGCCCACCAACCGCCACTACGCCGGGCCCGCCTCCGACGGCATCCCGCCGCTGCGCAACGTGCTGCTGGCCTTCTCCTGGCGCAACCCCGACATCGGCTACTGCCAGGGCCTCAACAGGTGCGTGCGCCCCACGCGGGGCTGTGCGGTGCGGCCTCGGGCCCCGCCCCCGCGGCTCAGGCCCCGCCCCCGCGGCTCAGGCCCCGCCCCGCGCGCCTCGGCCCCGCCCCGCGCGCCTCGGCTCCGCCCCCTGCGACTTGGGCCCCGCCCCGCGCGCCTCGGGGGGGGGGCCTGCGACTCAGGCTCCGCCCCCCATGCCTCGGGCTCCGCCCCCCACGCCCTCCTGTTCAAAAACATGTACACTGAGCGGCCAGATGTGATGATCTCTGAATGCATAGTAATCTGGCCACTCAGTGTGTGTGTGTGTGTGTGTGTGTGTGTGTACATATATATATATATTTTTTAAATATATTTTATTGACTTTGTACAGAGAGGAAGGGAGAGAGATAGAAAGCTAGAAACATCGATGAGAGAGAGTCATCATCGATCAGCTGCCTCTTGCACACCCCCTACCGGGGATGTGCCCGCAACCAAGGTACATGCCCTTGACCGGAATCGAACCCGGGTCCCTTCAGTCCCCAAGCTGACGCTCTGTCCATTGAGCCAAACCGGTCTTGGCTATATATATTTTTAATGTATTTTTTTAATTGATTTTTCATAGAGAGGAAGGGAGAGGGAGAGTCAGAAACATTGTTGAGAGAGAAACATCGACTAGCTGCCTCCTGCACAACCCCCACTGGGGATGTGCCCGCAACCAAGAATCGAACCCAGGACCGTTCAGTCCGCAGACCGACGCTCTATCCACTGAGCCAAACTAGTTTCAGAGATACACACACACACACACACACACACACACACACACACCGTATTTTCTGGCGTATAAGACGACCCCCTAATTTTACAGTTAAAACCTAGGTTTAGGCCTATATTCGCTGTATAAGACTACCCCCACTTCCGAGGCAACACCAGTTCTGTTTTTAATAGACCGCCTCTGACTCTGGCCAATCTGAGCAGGCTTTTTACTAGAACACAGTGTAGCTTCCGGTACAGAACATGTATAATTTGCATGCATAAAAAGCCTGCTTGGATTGGCCGAAGTCAGAGAGGCCGTCTATTAAAAAAAGAACTGGGGGGGGGGGGGTAGTCTTATACAGCGAATATAGGCCTAAACCTATGTTTTAACTGTAAAATTAGGGGGTCGTCTTATACGCCGGGAAATACTGGGTGTATATATATATGATTTTTTCATTGATTTTTCATAGAGCGGAAGGGAGAGGGAGAATTAGAAACATCGATGAGAGAGAAACATTGACCAGCTGCCTCCTGCACACCCCCACCAGGGGATGTGCCCGCAACCAAGGTACATGCCCTTGACCGGAATCGAACCCTGGACCCTTCAGTCTGCAGGCCGACACTCTATCCACTGAGCCAAACCAGATTTGGCTATATATATTTATTTTAATTTTTTTTTTAGAGGCCCAGTGCACGAATTCGTGCATGGGTGGGGTCCGGCGAGCCTGGCCAGGGGGAGGCAGAGAGGACATGGGCGGTTGGCCGGGTCGAGGCGACCATTTGTATATTAGCCTTTTATTCTATAGGATAGATACTGAGTGGCTGGATGATTATGCGTTCAGAGCGCATCATCATCTGGCCATTCTGTGTATAGAAAGAGAGCCCAACTGGAGTGGCTCAGTGGATAGAGTGTCAGCCTGCAGACTGAAGGGTCACGGGTTCGATTCCCGGTCAGGGCACATGCCTGCATTGTGGGCTCGATCCCCAGTGGGGGGGGGCGTGCAGGAGGCAGCCGATCCATGATTCTCATCATGGATGTTTTTCTTCCTTCCTTTCTGAAGTCGATTTTAAAATTTTTGTTTTTTATTTTTATTTTTATTTTTTAATATATTTTATTGATTTTTCACAGAGAGGAAGAGAGAGGGATAGAGAGTTAGAAACGTCGATGAGAGAGAATCATCAATCAGCTGCCTCCTGCACAACCCCCACTGGGAATGTGCCCGCAACCAAGATACATGCCCTTGACCGGAATCGAACCCCCGGACCTTTCAGTCTGCAGGCCGACGCTCTATCCACTGAGCCAAACCGGTCCCAGCAAATTTTTGTTTTTTAAAACATATTTTTATTAATTTCAGAGAGAAGAAGGGAGAGAGAGAGAGAGAAACCTTAGTGATGAAAGAGAATTAGCGATCAGCTGCCTCCTGCATGACCGTTACTAGGGAGGGAGCCTGCACCCCAGGCCTGTGCCTTGACCACGAATTGAACCCTGACCTCCTGGCTCATAGGTCAACAGTCAACCACTGCGCCAGGGCGGCTGGACAATAAACAACATCTTAAAAGAAAGAAATATACCCTGTTCCCCAGAAAATAAGACAGTGTCTTCTATTAATTTTTGCTCCCAAAGATGCGCTAGGTCTTATTTTCAGGGGGTGTCTTATTTTTCCATGAAGAAGAATACGGTACACATTTATTGTTAAATGAACATAAAGGACATTTATTCCCTGTATACGGTACGGTAGTACGGTCGTTGTCAGCACAAACCAGACAAACTGAATCCTACAGTATCAAGAATGTACGCATTTATTCAATGACAATTATGAACATCATCCTCACAATCCAATTCCTGAACTTCCAGGTGAATTTCTTGTGACTCCATTTCTCTCAGAATCAGTGGGCCAAATCTCTCATGTTTAGCCTAGGGGGGGGGGGCCTTATTTTCGGGGGGATGCCTTCTATTTCACTCAGAAGGAAACCTGTAAGTAGGTCTTATTTTCGGAGGATGTCTTATTTTCGGGGAAACACGATAGTAATGCCCTCACCAGTGTGGCTCAGTGGATAGAGCATCCTCCCTTGGACTGAAGGGCCCCGGGTTCGATTCCGGTCAAGGGCATGTGCCTTGGTTGCGGGCACATCCCCAGTAGGGTGTGCAGGAGGCAGCTGGTCGATGATTCTCTCTCATCGATGTTTCTGACTCTCCCTCTCCTTCCTCTCTGTAAGAAATCAATAAAATATATATATATTTTTAAAGAAATCTATTAAAAAACGGCAATGAATGAAGGGGCGGGTCGTGCAGCTTTGCTCTGAGGCTTTCAGAACCGCAAGGAGAATGAGACTGGGCGGGATGGCAAGGAGGGAGGGGTGCGGGGGGGGGGGGGAGGGGCCGGGGGGGGGCGCTCACGTCCCCTCGCCCGCAGGCTGGCGGCGGTGGCCCTGCTGTACCTGGAGCAGGAGGACGCCTTCTGGTGCCTGGTGGCCATCGTGGAGGTGTTCATGCCGCGGGATTACTACACCAAGACGCTGCTGGGCTCCCAGGTGCAGCCGCGCGGCCTTCTGGGGCCTCCTGGGGGGCGGGGGTGGGGGGGTCCCTCAGTGCCCGGCCCCGCAGGAGGCCGCCTGCTCCCGCCCAGCTCAGCCCTGTGCCCTGGGCCAGGCCGCCGGGCGGGGCCCTGGCCGCCGGAGCCCGGAGGCTGGGCGGGGTGCATGGACCGCAGGCTCTCGGGGGCACCTGGGGGGGACCCCGGGGAGGGACCCAGACCCAGGGCAGGAGGGAGGCGGGCGGGAGGGCCCGATGGCCGTGGGGTCTGAGGAGGTGGGGCCAGGCCGGGCCCCTGTGGAAGGTGCGGGTCCCTGGGAGGCCGGTGCGGGTCCCGCGGGGCCCCGGAGCCTGCGTGGACGTGGCGGGGGGGAGGAGGGGTGCGGGGCGGCTCCGGGAGCGGCCCGGTGCGCACGGGGTGGGGGGCGGGGAGGGGGCTCCGGCCTGTGGGGCTCGGGCGCCAGCCGGCCTCCCGCAGGTGGACCAGCGCGTGTTCCGGGACCTGATGAGCGAGAAGCTGCCGCGGCTGCACGCGCACCTGGAGCAGCACCGCGTGGACTGCACGCTCATCACCTTCAACTGGTTCCTGGTGGTCTTCGTGGACAGCGTGGTCAGCGACGTGCTCTTCCGCATCTGGGACGCCTTCCTGTACGAGGGCCCCAAGGTGGGCGCCGGCGTGGGGGGTGCCCGCGGGGTGTGGGCAGTGGGGGGTGCCCGCGGGGTGTGGGCAGTGGGGGGGGGTGCCCGCGGGGGTGTGGGCAGTGGGGGGGTGCCCGCGGGGTGTGGGCAGTGGGGGGTGCCCGCGGGGTGTGGGCAGTGGGGGGGGGTGCCCGCGGGGGTGTGGGCAGTGGGGGGGGTGCCCGCGGGGGTGTGGGCAGTGGGGGGGTGCCCGCGGGGTGTGGGCAGTGGGGGGGGGCAGTGGGGGTGCCCGCGGCGTGGGCGGGGCTGGGGTGCCCCTGGAGGCGGCCGCTTGCTGGTTCCTGGGGAGCAGGGCGCACTCGCCTGCGGGCTCGGACGCTCTGCCGCTGACCCTCGCCCTCCGTCGGGGCGGGGGCGGGGGCGGGGGCCCTGATTGTGCGGGTGGGAAGGCGGAGGTCCAGGGCGAGCGCGGGGTCGCCTCCAGAGCCTCCGCACACGCCCGCGCGGGGCTGAGGGTGTTTGTAAAGCACGGGGTTCGCTCAGAGGACGCGGCCCGCAGGTCATCTTCCGCTTCGCGCTCGCGCTGTTCAAGTTCCGGGAGGAGGAGATCCTCCGGCTGCAGGACTCCATGTCCATCTTCAAGTACCTGCGCTCCTTCACCCGCTCCATCCTGGACGCCCGGTGGGTGCTCCCCGCCGTCACCCCCATCCCTCCGCCTCGCGCCCTCCGCCTCCGCAGCGGGCATCGGGGTGACCGGGAGCGGCCGGTGTTTGCAGAAGGCGGGCCGGGGGCTCCGGAGCGGGAACAGAGTGGAACGGAGCGTGCGGGGCCCCTGGTGCGGGGCGCAGGGCAGGCCGGGGTGCAGGGGGCCCATGCCGAGCCCCGTGTGTGCGCCCCTCTCCCCCGCCCCCCAGGAAGCTGTTCGCCATCGCCTTCGGGGACCTGAACCCCTTCCCGCTGCGCCAGATCCGCAACCGGCGCGCCTTCCACCTGGAGAAGGTGCGGCAGGAGCTGTCGGAGCTGGAGGCCATCCGCCTGGACTTCCTGCGCGAGCGCGACGCCGCCGCCGCCGCCCGGCCCGACAAGGGCGCGCTGGTCAGCGACGAGGAGGACACCTGAGCCCGGGCCCCCGGCCCGACCGGCCGACCGAGCGACCGGCCGACCGAGCGACCGGTGCCCGGCCCGACAAGGACGCGCTGGTCAGCGACGAGGAGGACACCTGAGCCCGGGCCCCCGGCCCGGACCGGCCCTGGCACACCTCCTCCTTCCCCGACCGGCCGACCGAGCAACCGGCCGACCGAGCGACCTGTGCCCAGCCCGCGGCTCCCGGGGCCTGTTCGCAGCCTCTTCCCGCCGCTCCGACGGACCGACCGACCAACCGACCGGTGCACGGCGGGCGGCTCCCGGGGCCTGTTTACAGCGAGGCCCGAGTGTGGGGTCTGCGCCCCCGAACCCCGCGTGGGCGCCCCGTGCGGGGCTCGCAGTGAGGTCCGGGCGAGGAGCGGCTGCAGGAACCCCGCTGCCTGGGGGCCCCCCGCCCGCACCGGCTCCTCCCCCCGCCCGCACCGGCTCCTCCCGGCCTGGGGCCCCCCCGCCCGCACCGGCTCCTCCCGGCCTGGGGCCCCCCCGCCCGCACCGGCCCCTCCCGGGCGCCCGGCCTGAGCGCCTCCGTGGGTTCGGGGACTCAGGGGCTCGGTCCGGGGCGCGGGGCGCTGTTGGGGCCGGTGAGCCGGGCCCCCCCCCAGGCGGCCGCACGGACCAGGGCGGCTGGGAGACGCGTTCCCTCCGGCTGGGTGTTTGGGGTCCCCGCCCCCCGCCCCGGCCACATGCGGGGGGCCCTGCGCGGGGCGGCCAGTGGGGTCTGGGCGTGCGGAGGGGGCGGGCCCGGCCCGGGATTGGGGTCCCCCTGCCCTGAGCCACACACCCCCCCTCCCGCGCCCTGTGTCCGTCACTACAGCTTCTATTTTCATAGCCGGGTCACGCGTCCCGACGGCAGCCCTGTTTGTACCCGGTCACGGGTGCAGACCCCCAGCGTGCGGGGCACCTTCCCGTCCGCTCTGGCGGTTTGTATGGAAAGGAAAATACACGTTTGTACCACGTCCTCACCTGAGATGCGTCACTGCCTGGCACGGGCTGAGCCCCTGAGCCGGCTCTGGGTGTGTGTGTGTGTGTGTGTATATGGGGGTATGTGTGTATGGGTGTGTGTTGGGGTGTGTGTGGAGGTGTGTGTGTAGAGGGGGTATGTTTTGGGGTGTTGGGGTGTGTGTGGGGGTGTGTGTGGGGGTGTGTGTGTGGGGTGTGTGTGGGGGTGTTGGGGTGTGTGTTGAGGTGTGTGTGTATGGGGGGTATGAGGGGATATGTGTTGGGAGTGTATGATATGTGTTGGGGTGTGTGTGGGGTGTGTGTTGGGGTGTGTTTTGGGGTGTGTGTATGGAGGGGTGTTGTGGGGGGTGTATATGGGGGGTATAAGGGGATATGTGTTGGGAGGTGTATGATGTGTGTTGGGGTGTGTATGATGTGTGTTGAGGGGTGTATGGAGGGGTGTTGTGGGGGGTGTATATGGGGGGTATAAGGGGATATGTGTTGGGAGGTGTATGATGTGTGTTGAGGGGTGTATGATGTGTGTTGGGGTGTGTGTGTGTGGAGGGGTGTTGTGGGGGGCAGGACGCCTCGGTCGGCAGCCCTGTGAGGCGCTGGGAGCCGCCGCTGAGCTGTGACCGGGGGGGGCCATGGGGTGACCAGGGGGGGCCATGGGGTGACCAGGGGGGGCCATGGGGTGACCGGGCCCGGCCTTCGGCCTTCAGCCGGGCGGGGAGCTGGGCGGCCCACGTGGTGGCGCCCCCTCCCTGCCAGCACCGGGCGCCTGAGTCACGGCTGTCTGCCTGCGCTGGGAGGACAGCTCAGGCCCGGCTGACCCCGGGGCCCCCACGGGGAAACCCAGAGGGACACCCATTTCCCCTGGGGTGGGGGGCAGCTGCAGAGACGGGGGGCCTGAGGGGGGGCACTGACCCGCAGGCAGGGGCTGAGCTGGGACTGGGACCCCCTCCTCCTCTCCCCCCTCCTCTGGGGGCTGGCCCCCGCCAGGCCCTGCTCCCTGAGCCTGCCCAGTGGGCGGGGTGGAAGCCAGTGTGGCTCAGCGGTTGAGCCAGGAGGTCAGGGTTCGATTCCCAGTCAAGGGCACAGGCCCGGGGTGCGGGCTTGGTCCCCAGTGGGGGGCATGCAGGAGGCGGCCGGTCCATGATGCTCTCTCATCCTGGATGTTTCTATCCCCCCCCTCTCCCCTCCTCTCTGAAATCAATAAAAATATGTCAAAGACAAATCATTTTATAGCAAACGTGGAACTTTATAGAGAAGCAAGCACAGACCCCCAGGTGGGGAGGGGAAGGGCCCCCGAGCGTTTTTGTAAAGGTCAGCACACGTGTGTGCTGAGACGGAGGAGCAGGGCACACATGTACAGTCTCGGTTGGTTTGTTTTTATATATTTTTATTTTTTTATTGATTTCAGAGAGGACGGGAGAGGGAGAGAGAAACACCAATGATGAGAGAGAATCACTGGCCTGTACCCCCGACCAGAATCGAACCCGGGACCCCTCAGTTCCCAGGCCGATGCTCCACCCACTGAGCCACACCGGCCAGGGCCAGGCTTGGTTTTCATTCACAGCTTCAGAGCAGGTGGGTCTGTGTTTCTCTGGAGCTCAAGCCCATCCAGTCAGGACTAGCAGCCGCTGCGGGATTTGGGGGGGAGACAGCCTGTGCCAACAGCTGAGCTGGAGCCGGGGAGGGGGGGGGTCCCCAGATCCTCCCGCGGCCCCCCCCCCCAATAAGTTACCGCGACCATACCGGACAGCGGGGGTCCATCCAGGCTCCCAGCACAGCCAACGACTCCGCTGTCTTTAAAAAGTAGATAAATGGCCGAAACCCGTGTGGCTCAGTGGATAGAGCGTCGGTCTGCGGACTGAAAGGTCCCGGGTTCGATTCCGGTCCAGGGCATGGACCTTGGTTGCGGGCACATCCCCAGTGGGGAGCGTGCAGGAGGCAGCCGATGGATGTTTCTCTCTCATCGATCTTTCTAGCTCTCTACCCCTCCCCTTTCCTCTCTGTAAACAATCAATAAAATATGTTTGTATATTTTTTAAAGCAGATAAATGGTCCTCAGCTTCCTCCGCTCCTTCCTCAGGGCTGGCCATGCCCTGGGCCCGTGGACTCCTCCGTGTCTGTGGCCGTCTTTAGTTATTAGGATGTGGGTTTTTTTTCTTTCTTTCTTTTTTGTCTTATTTTTCTAAGTCATTTTAAATATTTACATATATATTTTATTTATTTTTCTACGGAGAGGGAGAGGAATAGTTAGAAACACGCCCTCCTGCACGCCCCCCACTGGGGATGTGCCCGCAACCAAGGTCCATGCCCTTGACCGGAATCGAACCCGGGACCTTTCAGTCCGCAGACCGACGCTCTATCCATTGAGCCACACCGGCCAGGGCCTAAGTGATTCGTTTTTAAAAATCAGTACTTTTTCAGGGGAAACAACTTGACCAAAACTCTGTTCCAGAATGTTGAGGCCCATTAACAAAGTACATTTTTTTTTAATTGCAAAAGCAGCCGAAACCGGTTTGGCTCAGTGGATAGAGCGTCGGCCTGCAGACTCAAGGGACCCGGGTTCGATTCCGGTCAAGGGCATGTGCTCTGGTTGCGGGCACATCCCAGGTAGGGGGCGTGCGGGAGGCAGCTGAGCGGTGTTTCTCTCTCGTCGATGTTTCTGACTTTCTATCCCTCTCCCTTCCTCTCTGTAAAAAATCAATAAAATATATTTTTTAAAAAAAAAGAGAAAATAAAATTTCAAAAGCAGGTAAATGCTGCCCCCCTGTGCACACTCCGAGGTATTGCAAGCGGCACAACAGAAATTCAATAGTGAATCATTTTCCAAATTCAATAGGGTTTTTTTTTTTTAAGCAGGTAAATGCTGCCCCCCTGTGGCATTCAGCGGTGTTGCAGGCAGCAGAAAAGACAAATAAGGACCTTTCTGTATTTGGGATTAGGAACCAGCTGTGCCCAGTGTCCCTCCCACACCCGCCTGAACCTACAAGTTCACGGAGGTCCGACTCAGCTGAGCCACAGCTGCATTGCCAGGTCCTCCCGTCATAATCCGGTTTAGAGCCAGGATTTTAAAAAAATATATTTAAGAGGGATCCTGGCCCGGCCAGTGTGGCTCAGTGGTTGCCACGGTGCCATTCCGGGTGGGGACATACGTCTGGGTTTCAGGCTCACACCCCAGGAGGGGGCGTGCAGGAGGCAGCCGATCAGTGGTTATCAGTGCTGGCGCCAGGCCGGGCCTTCCGTGAACATCTCAAAGCCCCAGCACAAAGGGGCTCTTTAGGAACTTGCAGCCCTAACCGGTGTGGCTCAGTGGATAGAGCGTCGGCCTGCGGACTGGGGGGTCCCGGGTTCGATTCCGGCCAAGGGCATGGACCTTGGTTGCGGGCTCATCCCCAGTAGGGGACGTGCAGGAGGCAGCTGATGGATGTTTCTCTCTCATCGATGTTTCTGACTCTCCTCCCTTCCTCTCTGAAATCAATTATATATATGTAATATATACACACACACACACCCTGATTCCCTGAAAATAAGACAGTGTCTTATATTAATTTTTGCTCCCGAAGATGCGTTAGGTCTTATTTTCGGGGAAACATGGTGTGCATATATATATATTTTTTTTTTTTTTAAAATATATTTTATTGATTTTTTTAGAGAGAGGAAGGGAGAGGGACAGAGAGCTAGAAACATCAATGAGAGAGAAACACCGACCAGCTGCCTCCTGCAGACCCCCTGCCGGGGATGTGCCCGCAACCAATGTATAATACATGCCCCTGGCCGGAATCGAACCTGGGACCCCTGAGTCCGCAGACTGACGCTCTATCCACTGAGCCACACCGGTTTTGGCATCTACATATATATATATATTTTTTTAAAGGCAGTGGGGGGAGGGAGGAGGCAGGATTTCAGACCGGGAGTCCCCCCCTCACCCCTCCTCGAAGAAGCCAGGCGACACGGGGACACGGTAGATACTTGTTTATAGAATAATAACAATAACAATAATAACAACAAGAACAGTAACAAAATAACGGCGGTACACACACACACGGTGGGAATGAAGAACCCCTGAGGCGTCCCCGCCCGCAGGGCAGGGCCGGTGTAGCACCATGGGGGCGCGGAGGGGGGCGGGGGGGGGCGCTGAGGTCTGTGTGGCTGTCAGTGGTCTGTCCGTCCGTCCGTCCGTCCGCCCGCCCGCCGGGCCGGCGGGGGCGGGTCAGCCGCGGCAGGTGAGGCAGCACTGGGCGCGGATGCTGGGCAGCCGGCAGCGGGCCAGGAGGCGGAGCCTCTCGCAGGAGCCGAAGGGCAGCTGGTCCTGCTCGCAGCCTGGGGGGGGCGGGGTCAGGGGGTCAGGGGGCACGGGGGGGGGGGGGGGCACGGGGCCGGGGTCAGGACACCCTCCCCAGAGCTTTGTTTTGAAGTGTTGACTTTTTTATTTTATTTTAAATCCTCCCCTGAGGATATTTTCCCATTGATTTTATTTTATTTTATTTTAAATATATTTTATTGAGTTTTTACAGAGAGGAAGGGAGAGGGATAGAGAGTTAGAAACATCGATGAGAGAGAAACATCGATCAGCTGCCTCTTGCACACCTCCTACCGGGGATGTGCCCGCAACCAAGGTCCATGCCCCTGACCAGGAATCGAACCCGGGACCTTTCAGTCCGCAGGCCGACGCTCTATCCACTGAGCCACACCAGCCGGCCAGGAAGCAGCTGCATCTGGGCCCCTGACCTCTGACCCCGCCGGTGGTGCAGGCGGCCCTCCCTCTTCCTGCCTCTTCACATGGGGGGGGAGGGTCCTCCTTTGCCAGCGCCCGCCGCCCGCCGGCAGCTGCCTGGCCGCGGTGACCTCACCGCCGGGGGCTCCCAGGCTCTCCTGTCGGACACGCAGCCCCATGAGTCAGTCACCCCACTTCCTGGGGCGCCAGCTGTCGGCGTCCCAGTCCCCCCCCCATCCCCGCCCCCACCCCGGGGGCTGCAGCCGGGAAACTCCCTTGTGGGGCAGCTCATGGCGCAGCCACCTGACCTCCCTCCAAACCAGAACCGCCCCAGCCAGTGTGGCTCAGTGGGTAGAGCGTCGGCCTGCGGACCGAAGGGTCCCGGGTTCGATTCCTGGTCAGGGGCATGGACCTTGGTTGCGGGCACATCCCCGGTGGGGGGGTGTGCAGGAGGCAGCTGGTTGATGTTTTTGTCTCATCGGTGTTTCTAGCTCTCTGTCCCTCTCCCTTCTCCTCTGTAAAAAACAAACAAACAAAAAAAAACCCAATAGAATATAGTTTTAAAATAATAAAATAAAAATGACATGAATGCCGGCTCCTCCCCGGCTTTGGTCGGGTGCAGGAGCCACCCCATGGGTGTGTCTCTCTCCTGTCGGCGTTTCTCTCTCCCTCCCCATCCCACTCTCTCTGAGAACCAACAACAAAACAAAACAAAAAACAGACAGGGCCTCACGGGAAGCTGGTCCTGGTTCCGGCCCCAGAGGCCCCGTTCCCGCCCCCCGCACCCCCGTCTGCCCCCCCCCCCCGGGGCCCCGGCAGCAGGCGGGCTCGGAGCCGCGGGGTCCCCTCCCCCCTCCCCAGACGGGCCCTGGGCCTGCGCCCTGACACCCTGACAGGTGACGGTGGCTTCCAGGGAAGACCGTGGCCCCCGAAACCCCGAGTCCTCACAGTTGCCCCCCGTTCCCCCTGTCCCCCCCTTGTCACCCCCTTTCCCCCATCCCCCATCCCCCTCTGTCCCAGCCCAGGGCCCGGCCCCTCTCAGAGACCAGGGTGCGGAGGCCAGAGGGGAAGTGAGCTCCCACACGGCAGGGTGTGTGTGTGTGTGTGTGTGTGTGTGTGCGCGCGTGTGTGCGCCTGTGCATGTGTCTATGTATGTGTGCATGCACTCACCTGTATATGCATGTGCCTATGGGCACATGGGATGTGCACACACGGTTTACATGTGTGTACACACCCACACGTATATGTGGGCACACTCACACGTATATACACGTACGCACCTGTATACGCATGCATGTTCACACAAACGTGTGTACACACGTGCGTGTGTGGGTACGTTGTGTGTTACGTGTGTGCACGCACATGTATTTGTATGTGTGCGCGCTGTGTGCGTGCATGCACACGTGTATTCGCGACATTGTGTGTGCACGCATGTGCGGGTCCCTGGGGTGTGCGCGCGTGTGCATGCGTGAGAGCCCAGGTGCCTGTGTGTGTCCTGAGCCTCCTCCGCCTCAGGCCCGTCCCCCAGGAGGCCCGGCCGGCCAGAAGCCGGGTGTGGGGGCCCCCCGGCCCCCCGCCGGCCCCCCGCCGGCCCCCCGGGCGGACACTCACCCTGCCGCTGCTCGGACACCTCGCAGGCCTGGGTGCCGCACGGCCGGGCGCTGGCGGGCCAGGGCGCGTGGGCGCAGCGCCCGCTGTCCTCCTCGGGCAGCCCCCGGTGGGTGTTCACACAGCGGATCACCCGGCGCTGCACCCCGCCGCCGCAGGGCGCCGAGCACTGCGGGGGGAGGGGGGGTGTGTGTGTGTGTGTCACCGCCGGCCGGCACGGCCCCCGACCGGCCTCCCCCCTCCCGCCCCCGCCAGCCCGCCCCGGGCCCCGCCCCCGGGCCCCCCCGGGCCCCGCCCCCGGGCCCCGCCCCCGGCCCCCCCCCGGGCCCCACCCTGGGCCCCGCCCCGGGCCCCGCCCCGGGCCCCGCCCCACGGCCCCAGCCCGGACCCCGCCCCACGGCCCCAGCCCCCGGCCCCGCCCCCGGGCCCCGCCCCCGGGCACCCCCCCCCCCGCTCTGCATGGCCCCCCCCACGCCCACCACCCCCACCCGGCCGCGCTCTGTCACAGCAGTGACCCTCAGGTCTCCCTGGAACCCCTCCCTGAGGCCTCGGGACACGCCTGCCCCTCGCCCCCTCCCCGCCCCCTCCCCGGCCCCTCACCTCGCCCCAGGGCCCCACCGCCCACTGGGTGCAGGGGTGCGTGTTGCAGGGCCGCGTGGCGTTGGGCCTCAGCGCCTCCGGGCACAGGCCGGGCTCCGGGCAGGTCACCAGGCGGTGCTGCTCGCCCCCGCCGCAGGCCTCCGAGCACTGGAGGGCGGGGCGGGGGCGGGGGTCAGGGCCCACCACCCCACGCCCCTCCATCACCCCCCCTCCCCGTCCATCCCCCTCCCCGTCCATCACCACTCCCTGTTCCCACCCCCCTCCCCATCTACCACCCCCTCCCGTCATCCCCCTCCCCGTCCTCACCCTCCCCGTCCATCCCCCTCCCCGTCCATCCCCCCCTCCCAATCTCACCCACACCCCCTCCCCGTCCATCCCCCTCCCCGTCCATCCCCCCTCCCCATCTACCACCCCCCCCCCGTCCATCCCCCTCCCCGCCTCCACCCCCTCACCCGTCTACCACCCTCCCCGTCCATCCCCCTCCCCGTCCTCCCCCTCCCCGTCCACCCCCCTCCCCGTCCATCCCCCCCGCCCCATCGTCCACCCCCCTCCCCGTCCACCCCCTCCCCGTCCATCCCCCTCCCCGTCCCATCCCCCTCCCCATCTACCACCCACCCCCTCCCCGTCCATCCCCCTCCCCGTCCATCACCCCCTCCCCGTCCATCCCCCTCCCCGTCCATCCCCCTCCCCGTCCATCCCCTCCCCATCTACCACCCCCTCCCCGTCCATCCCCCTCCCCATCTACCACCCCCTCCCCGTCCACCCCCCTCCCCATCCATCCCCCCTACCCGTCCATCCCCCTCCCCGTCCATCGCCCCTCCCCATCTACCACCCCCTCCTGACCCTCACCCCGCTCCCGCTCCCTCCATCCCCCTCCCCCTCCATCCCCCTCCCCTCCATCCCCCTCCCATCCAACCCCCTCCCCTCCATCCCCCTCCCCATCTACCACCCCCTCCCCCTCCCCCGTCCATCCCCCTCCCCTCCATCCCCCTCCAGGCTGGGAGCCCACCATCACCCCACGCCCCTCCTATCACCCCTCCCCCTCCCTCCCCCTCCCTCCCCCTCCCCCCCATCACACACACACACACACACACACACACCCTCACCTCCCGCCAGGAGGAGGTGTACCAGCTCAGGCAGGGCTGGGAGCCGCAGGGCCGGCGGGCGGGGGGCGGGGCGGGCCCGGGCTGGCAGTGGAAGGGCCGCAGCGGCCGCAGGTCCCGGGCGTCCACACACTGCACGTCCCGCACCGAGAGCCCCCCCCCCGCAGCCCTGGGAGCACTGGGGGGACAGGAGGGGAGGACACGGGGGGACGGACATGTGGGCGGGCACAGCCCCCCCCGCAGCCCTGGGAGCACTGGGGGGACACGGGGGGACGGACATGTGGGCGGGCACAGAGCCCCCCCCGCAGCCCTGGGAGCACTGGGGGAAACACGGGGGGACGGACATGTGGGCGGGCACAGCCCCCCCCGCAGCCCTGGGAGCACTGGGGGGACACGGGGGGATGGACATGTGGGCGGGCACAGAGCCCCCCCCGCAGCCCTGGGAGCACTGGGGGGACACGGGGGGACGGACATGTGGGCGGGCACAGAGCCCCCCCCGCAGCCCTGGGAGCACTGGGGGACACGGGGACACGGGGGGACGGACATGTGGGCGGGCACAGCCCCCCCCGCAGCCCTGGGAGCACTGGGGGGACAGGAGGGGGGGACACGGGGGACGGACATGTGGGCGGGCACAGCCCCCCGCAGCCCTGGGAGCACTGGGGGGACACGGGGGGATGGACATGTGGGCGGGCACAGAGCCCCCCCCGCAGCCCTGGGAGCACTGGGGGGACAGGGGGACACGGGGGGACGGACATGTGGGCGGGCACAGCCCCCCCCGCAGCCCTGGGAGCACTGGGGGGACAGGAGGGGGGGACACGGGGGACGGACATGTGGGCGGGCACAGCCCCCCCCCGCAGCCCTGGGAGCACTGGGGGGACACGGGGGGACGGACATGTGGGCGGGCACAGAGCCCCCCCCGCAGCCCTGGGAGCACTGGGGGGACACGGGGGGACGGACATGTGGGCGGGCACAGAGCCCCCCCCGCAGCCCTGGGAGCACTGGGGGGACACGGGGGGATGGACATGTGGGCTGGCACAGAGCCCCCCCCGCAGCCCTGGGAGCACTGGGGGGACACGGGGGGACACAGGGGGACGGACATGTGGGCGGGCACAGCCCCCCCCCCCGCAGCCCTGGGAGCACTGGGGGGACACGGGGGGACGGACATGTGGGCGAGCACAGAGCCCCCCCCACCCGCAGCCCTGGGAGCACTGGGGGGACAGGAGGGGGGACACGGGGGGACGGACATGTGGGCGGGCATAGAGCACCCCCCCCCCGCAGCCCTGGGAGCACTGGGGGGACAGGAGGGGGGACACGGGGGGACGGACGTGTGGGCGGGCATAGAGCACCCCCCCCCCGCAGCCCTGGGAGCACTGGGGGGACAGGAGGGGGGACACGGGGGGACGGACATGTGGGCGGGCATAGAGCCCCCCCTGGGAGCAGTGGGGGGACGGGGGGGGGGGGACAGACGTGGGCGGCACGGCCCCCTCCCCTCCCGCCCTGGGAGCACTCGGGGGACGGGCGTGTGGGCGGCACGGCCCCCTCCCCCTCCCGCCCTGGGAGCACTGGGGGGACAGCGGGGGGGGGGACACGGGCGGGTGGGCGGCACGGCCCCCTCCCCTCCCGCCGGCACCCACCTTGCTCCAGTTGCCGGCGCGCCAGGCGGCGCAGGGCCGCAGGTGGCAGCGGCGGGCGGGCTGCGGGCGGCCCTCGGGCGCACAGTCCTCCTCGCGGCCCGAGCTGCAGCGCACGGCCCTCCAGGAGGCGCCCAGCCCGCAGGTGGTGGAGCACTGGGGGGGGGGGGCGTGAGGGCGGGGCGTGAGGGCGGGGCGTGAGGGCGGGGCCCCCCCCCTCCAGCCCCACACCGGGCCCCCCTCCCCCCAGCCCCACACCCGGCCCCCTCCCTCCCTCCAGCCCCACACCCGGCCCCCCCCCTCCAGCCCACACCCGGCCCCCTCCCTCCCTCCAGCCCCCACACCCGGCCCCTCTCCCTCCAGCCCCACACCGGGCCCCCTCCCTCCAGCCCCACACCCGGCCCCCTCCCTCCAGCCCCACACCCGGCCCCCCTCCCTCCCTCCAGCCCCCCACCCGGCCCCCTCCCTCCCCCCAGCCCCACACCCGGCCCCCCTCCCTCCCCCCAGCCCCACACCCGGCCCCCCTCCCCCTCCTCCTCCCAGCCCCACACCCGGGGCCCCTCCCTCCCTCCAGCCCCCACTCCCTCCCTCCAGCCCCACACCCGGCCCCACTCCCCCCCAGCCCCACACCCGGGCCCCCTCCCTCCCTCAGCCCCCACTCCCTCCCTCCAGCCCCACACCCGGCCCCCCCCTCCCTCCCTCCAGCCCCACACCCGGCCCCCCTCCCTCCCTCCAGCCCCACACCCGGCCCCCCTCCCTCCCTCCAGCCCCACACCCGGCCCACCACTCCCCCCAGCCCCACACCCGGCCCCCCCTCCCTCCCCCTCCGCCCCACACCCGGCCCCCCCTCCCTCCTCCAGCCCACAACCCGGCCCCCTCCCTCCCTCCAGCCCCACACCCGTCCCCCCTCCCTCCCCTCCAGCCCCACACCCGGCCCCCTCCTCCCTCCAGCCCACACCCCGCCCCTCTCCCTCCAGCCCCACACCCGGCCCCCCTCCCCTCCCTCCAGCCCCACACCCGGCCCCCTCCCTCCCCCCAGCCCCACACCCGCCACCCCGCCCCCTCCCCCCAGCCCCACACCCGGGCCCCCTCCCTCCCTCCAGCCCCACACAAACCCCCGCCCCCCCCTCAGCCCCACACCCCCCCCCCGCCTCCCTCCCTCCAGCCACACAACCCGGCCCCCTCCCTCCCTCCAGCCCCACACCCGGCCCCCCCCCTCCCTCCGCCCCACACAACCCGGCCCGCCCTCCCTCCAGCCCCACACCCGGCCCCCTCACTCCCTCCATCCCCACAACCGGCCCCCCTCCCTCCCTCCAGCACCACACCCGGCCCCCCCTCCCTCCCTCCAGCCCCACACCCGGCCCCCCTCCTCCCTCAATCCCCACACCTTCCCCCTCCCTCCTCCAGCCCACACCCGCCCCCTCCCTCCCTCCCTCCCACAACCCGGCCCCTCCCTCCCTCCAGCCCCACACCCGGGCCCCCCTCCCGCCACCCCACACCCGGCCCTCCCTCCCCACTCCCTCCAGGCCCACAACCAGGCCCCCCTCCCTCAGCCCAGCCCCCCTCCCTCCCTCCAGCCCACAACCGCCCCCCTCCCTCCAGCCCCCAACCCGGCCCCCCTCCCTCCAGCCCCACACCCGGCCCCCCTCCCTCCCTCCAGCCCCACACCCGGCCCCCCTCCCCCCAGCCCCACACCCGGGCTGCCCATCGGGGGAGCGGAGGGAAGGGGGTGTGTCTGCATCTCCACCCCCAGGGCCTCAGTCTTCCCACCTGCAAAATGGGCTCCCCCCCCCCCCCGCCTGCCTCCCTCCCCAGGGGAGGGCGACGGGGATGAGAAGTGGTTCAGGGGGGGCACAGATGGGCAGACAGACCCCACCCCCACCCCCACCCCCACAGGAGGAACCCGAATGGGGGCTCCCTCCTCCTCAGGGACAATCCGAGGTGCAGGGGAGGGTGCTGGGGGGCAGCGGGGTGCCATGCCTCTCGGACCCCTGCAGGCCCTGAGAGCGGGTACAGCTGGAGGAGGAGAGAGCCTCTGGGGGGGACCCCACTAACGGGGGGTGCCCCGCCCAACCCCCCCTGCCGGGTAAGGGGGTGAGCTTCCCGTCCCCGGGGGCATTCGAGGCTGCGGGAGAGGAACCGGGGGCGCCCCCCAGGCTGGCAGGGGCGGGCCTGTGCGGCCCCCGGAGCCCAGGGAGGTGGGGCCCCCTCGGCCTGCCCCCTCCCACCCACCGCTCAGCAGGGGAACTGAGGCAGGGGGGGCGCGGCCCGCCGGCACTTGCCTGGCTCCAGTCTCCGGCTTCCCAGCTGGCGTTCCCGGGCGGCGGGGCCCCCGGGGCCGGGCCGGGGGGAGCCTGGGGCAGAGGGGCCGCGGGAGGGACGCCCCCCACGGCCGGCCACAGCGCCTCCGGGCCAGGCTGGGGCGAGGGGCGGGCTGGGGGCCGCGGGGGGGCCTCGGGGAACCCCGGCAGGAGAAACGGGCCTGGGGGGTCCCCCTCGTCCTCCTCGGGGACCTCGTTGGTGCTCTCCCACCGCGGAGGGGGCGCCTCGGGGGTCCCCGGGGTGGCGGGCGTGTGGCCCTCCGGGGCGGGGGGCGGGGTCCCCGTGGGGGCATCCTCCTCGGGGAGGAAGTTGAGCAGAGGGTCCCAGGGCGTCCGCCCCGCAGGCGCGGGGGGCTCCGAGGGGCCGCTCTGGGGGGGCGGGGAGGGAGAGGGGTGCAGGCCCGGCCCCCCGTTCTCGTCCCCGTCCCCGTCCTCGTCCCCGTCCCCGG